TGGCCATACTGGGTCAGACCAAAGGTCCATCCAGCCCAGAATCCTGTCTACCGACAGTGGTCAATGCCAGGTGCCCCAGAGGGAGTGAACCTAACAGGTAATGAATGACCTAGTGATCTCTCTCCTGCCATCCATCTCCACCCTCTGACAAACAGAGGCTAGGGACACCATTCCTTACCCATTGTGGCTAATAGTCATTAATGGACTTAACCTTCATGAATTTATCCAGTTCTCTTTTAAACCCTGTTATAGTCCTAGCCTTCACAACCTCCTCAGGCAAGGAGTTCCACAGGTTGACTGTGCGCTCAGTGAAGAAGAACTTCCTTTTATTTGTTTTAAACCTGCTACCCATTAATTTCATTTGGTGGGCCCTAGTTCTTATATTATGGGAACAAGTAAATAACTTTTCCTTATTCACTTTCTCCACACCACTCATGATTTTATATACCTCTATCATATCCCACCTTAGTCTCTTTTCCAAGCTGAAAAGTCCTAGCCGCTTTAATCTCTCCTCATATGGGACACGTTCCAAACCCCTAATCATTTTAGTTGCCCTTTTCTGAACCTTTTCTAATGCCAATATATCTTTTTTGAAATGAGGGGACCACATCTGCACGCAGTATTCAAGATGTGGGCGTACCATGGATTTATATAAGGGCAATAAAATATTCTCCGTCTGACTCTCTATCCCTTTTTTAATGATTCCTAACATCCTGTTTGCTTTTTTGACTGCCACTGCACACTGTGTGGACGTCTTCAGAGAATTATCCACAATGACTCCAAGATCTTTCTCCTGATTAGCTGTAGCTAAATTAGCCCCCATCATATTGTATGTATAATTGGGGTTATTAGGAGGTCATCTAGTGCAACCCCGTGCTCAAAGCAGGACCAACACCAACTAAATCATCCAAGCCAGGGCTTTGTCAAGCCGGGTCTTAAAAACCTCTAAGGATGGAGATTCCACCACCTCCCTAGGTAACCCACTCCAGTGCTTCACCACCCTCCTAATGAAATAGTTTTTCCTAATATCCAACCTAGACCTCCCACACTGCAACTTGAGACCACTGCTTCTTGTTCTGTCATCTACCACCACTGAGAAGAGCCTAGCTCCATCCTCTTTGGAACCCCCCTTCAGGTAGTTGAAGGCTGCTATCAAATCCCCCCGCCCCCACTCTTCTCTTCTGCCGACTAAATAAGCCCAGTTCCCTCAGCCTTTCCTCATAAGTCATGTGCTCCAGCCCCCTAATCATATTCGCTGCCATCCACTGGACTCTCTCCAATTTTTCCACATCCCTTCTGTAGCGGGGGGCCCAAAACTGGACACCATACTACAGATGTGGCCTCACCAGTGCCAAATAGAGGGGTATAATCACTTCCCTTGATCTGCTGGCAATGCTTTTACTAATGCAGCCCATTATGCCTTCTTGGCAACAAGAGCACACTGTTGACTCATATCCAGCTTATCATCCGCTGTAATCCCCAGGTCCTTTTCTGCAGGACTGCTACTTAGCCAGTCGGTCCCCAGCCTGTAGCGGTGCATGGGATTCTTCCGTCCTAAGTGCAGGACTCTGCACTTGCCCTTGTTGAACCTCATCAGATTTCTTTTGGCCCAATCCTCCAATTTGTCTAGGTCACTCTAGACCCTATCCCTACCTTCCAGCATATCTACCTCTCCCCCCCAGCTCAGTGTCATCTGCAAACTTGCTGAGGGTGCAATCTATCCCATCATCCAGATCATTAATAAAGATGTTAAACAAAACCGGCCCCAGGACCGACCCCTGGGGCACTCCTCTTGATAACAGCTGCCAACTCGACACTGAGCCGTTGATCACTACCCATTGAACCCAACAATTAAGCCAGCTTTCTATCCACCTTATAGTCCATTCATCCAATCCATACTTTTTTAACTAGCTGGCAAGAATACTGTGGGAGACCGTACCAAAAGCTTTGCTAAAGTCAAGATATATCATGTCCACTGTTTCCCCATATCCACAGAGCCAGTTATCTCATCATAGAAGGCAATCAGATTGGTCAGGCATGACTTGCCCTTGGTGAATCCATGTTGACTGTTCCTGATCACCTTCCTCTCCTCCAAGTGCTTCAAAATGGTTTCCTTGGGGACCTGCTCCACGATTTTTCCAGCGACTGAGATGAGGCCGACCACTCTGTAGTTCCCCAGGTTCTCCTTCTTCTCTTTTTAAAAGATGGGCACTATATTTGCCTTTTTCCAATTGTCCGGCACCTCCCCCGATCACCACGAGTTTTCAAAGATAATGGCAATGGCTCTGCAATCACATCAGCCAATTCCCTCAGCACCCTTGGATGCATTAGATCTGGACCCATGGACTTGTGCATGTCCAGCTTTTCTAAATAGTCCTTAACCTGTTCTTTCATCACTGAGGGCTGCTCACCTCCTCCCCATACTGTGTTGCCTAGGACACCAGTGTGGGAGCTGACTTTGTCTGTGAAGACCAAGGCAAAAAAAGCATTGAGTACTTCAGGTTTTTCCACATCATCTGTCACTAGGTTGCCTCCCCCATTCAGTAAGGGTCCCACACTTTCCCTGACCTTTTTCTTATTGCTAACAAACCTGTAGAAACCCTTCTTGTTACCCTTCACATCCCTTGCTAGCTGCAACTCCAGTTGTGTTTTGGCCTTCCTGATTACACCCCTGCATGCTTGAGCAATATTTTTATACTCCTCTCTAGTCATCTGACCAAGTTTCCACTTCTTGTAAGCTTTCTTTTTGTGTTTAAGCTAACCGAAGATTTCACCGTTAAGCCAAGCTGGTTGCCTGCCATATTTGCTATTCTTTCTGCACATTGGGATGATTTGTTCCTGCGCCCTCAATAAGGCTTATTTAAAATATAGCAGCTTTCCTGGACTCTTTCCCCGCCTCATATTAGCCTCCCAGGGGATCCTGCCCATCAGTTCCATAAGGGAGTCAAAATCTGCTTTTCTGAAGTCCAGGGTCCATATTTTGCTACTCTCCTTTCTTCCTTTTGTGAGGATCCTGAACTCAACCATCTCATGGTCACTGCTGCCCAGGTTGCCACCCACTTCTACTTTTCCTACCAATTCTTCCCTGTTTGTAAGCAGCAGGTCAAGAGGAGGACCCTGGTTCCTCCAGTAGTTGTACCAGGAAGTTATCCCCAACACTCCAAAAACTTCCTGGATTGTCTGTGTACTGCTATATTGCTCTCCCAGCAGATGTCAGGGTGATTGAAGTCCCCCATTAGAACCAGGCCCTGTGATCTGGAAACTTCAGTTAATTGTCTGAAGAAAGCCTCGTCTACCTCATCCTCCTGGTCCGGTGGTCAATAGCACACGCCCACCACGACATCACCCTTGTTGCTCTCACTTCTAAACTTAACCCAAAGACTCTCAACAGGCTTTTCTCCAGTTTCTCCAGGCAAGGGCTCACACAGGGACACACACATGCTGGAGATGAATGCATGGCTGTGCAAATAGTGTCGATGGGAGAGCTTCAGCTTCCTCGACCATGGGATGCTGTTCCAGGAAGATGCTCTGCTGGAAAGAGATGGGGTCTACTTGACCAAGTAGTACTCTGAAGGACAGGATTAGAATTCAAAATCACCCTGACAAATTGGAGAGTTGGTCTGAATTCAACATGATGAAATTCAATAAAAGATAAGTGCAAAGTACTTCACTTAGGAAGGAAAAATCAAATGCATAACTACAAAATGGGGAATAACGGGCTAGGTGGTGGTACTGCTGAAAAGGATCTGTGGGCTAAAGTGGATCACAAATGGAATATGAGTCAACAATGTGATGCAGTTGAGAAAATGGCTAATATTATTCTGAGGTGTATTAACAGATGTGTTGTATGTAAGACACAGGAATTAACTATCCTACTCTACTAGACACTGGTCAGGTCTCAGCTGGAGTATTGTGTCCAATTTCTAGTTCAAAAAAGAACTAGATAAGTTTATGGAGGATAGGTCCATCAATGGCTATTAGCCAGGATGGACAGGGATGGTGTCCTAGCCTCTGTTTGCCAGAAGCTGAAAATGGGCGACAGGATGGATCATGTGATGATTACCTGTTCTGTTCATTCCCTCTGGGGCACCAGGCATTGGCCAGTGTTGGAAGACAGGATACTTGGCTAGATGGACCTTTGGTCTGACCCAGTGTGGCCGCTCTTATGTTAATTCTGGGTACTACACTTTAGAAGAGATGTGGACAAATTGAAGAGTCTTTTGTGGAGACTCTACTTTTGTTCTTTTTTGTGTTGTTGTTTCCTTTAACTTAAGTAATAGTCCTTCCTTCTGAAATACTCTAAGATGGTGGAGAGGAGAAAAGAGGGTGTGGTAAAAGGAGAGAATCAGAGGTGGTAAGGAAGGAAGGACAGAACAATTGAAAAGGGAGAGGAGGATGAAGGGATAATTAGGGAGAAGAAAGGTGTATGGTACAGGACACGCAGCGTGATAGGAAGAGGAAAGTAATGGAAGGGCACAAAGGATCACAAGAGGAAGAGGACAAAATATGGAAAAATTACACTGTATATTTCAGGAGTGAATTTCCTGCATTACAGTACTTCTACTAAGTGATTGAGAAGAACATGCAGTGGAGAAGAAATAGAGGAGGTCACTGCACTCGGGTATTTATACTACATTTACACTAGTAGACAAGGTCAGACTCTGCTGTCTAATTAGATTTGTGGGTTGGGCCAGAAATTTTTTTCTTTACAATGTTATTGTAAAGATTCTTCATCAGATCTTTCGAAGATTTCATGGGAATAAATATACGTATAATGTAAATATAATGTAACATTTTAGAATGGCCATTAAACAAAGCACTTTTCATTTGCCAGTGTGGGCCCAATCCTGAAGTCCATACTCCATCAATCTTTCCACTGGTTTCAATGAAAGTTTTGACTGAGAAAAGATTGCCAGTTGGTGCCCCAGAAATATACTTTTTTTATTCAGGTGACAATAACTGCGCAGCACATCCAGTGAATGTTGCACAAGACATCTTACCTGCTGTGGCTCAACTTCCATCTCTGCCAAGGCTGACTGGAAAAACATTTTTGCCGGCTTTCCCACCACCTCAGCTTGAACATCACAAGCATACTAAGAAAAAGGACAGAAATAATATTGTATAGATTAGAAATGGATTTGTTCAACTCCACATTCTCTGTAGATTGTATGAAAGAGTATGCGATTACTGACTGATTCCTTTCAATAATGTATGGATTAGTAGATGCAGGTAACTAACAGAGGATTTGGATAATACAAGTGTTGACTGTTCTGTTAGGGGCAAAGGCCCTCTAGAAATGTGTAGAATTAAGAATTGGGCATATTTTCCAACATGAAAGTAGTTTTCTAATTCTAATCTTGCTCACACTTGAGTCACAAAAATTCATTGTTACAGCAATGATGTGCTTTGCTGACAAACTTGTGTTCAGGAATTGCGGGTGAATTTCAAGGATATGGAGGTTTTGTGAACCATATAGCCCATTTTTAAGGTTGAAAGCCTTATTTAGCTGTAGTTATATACCCATGTTGTAATAAATAAGACGTTCCTAGCTAACAGGAAGCCTGCACTGTTTATTATGGACAGGCAACCCTCCCCAAAAGCTACATTGGCACAAGTGAGTTCACTGCATTCACATGGTACAGTATATATACATGCTCTTTATTTTTCCATTAGAATGCTCCCTGTATCCCCTCCCCTCCCACTTTGCTCCTTTCTCCCTAGTTGCTCTGGATTTATTTTTAATCCCTCTCTGAGCCTCAGGGCAGGTCTACACTACAAACTTGCATCGGTAAAGCCGTAGCGCTTCTGGTGAACATGCTCTAAACTGATGGGCAAGAGCTCTTCTGTCAGCTTAATAATTCCATCTCAGTGAGAGGCAGTAGCTATATCGGTGGGAGAGCAGCACTGTTTACACAGGGAGTTAAGGTCAGTATAACTATGTCGCTAAGGGGTGTGGATATTTTCATACCCCTGAGCAATGTAGTTATACCAAAATAAGTGTGTAGTGTAAACCTGGCCTCAGTAAACGGGGCATAATAACTCTTCCCTTCACTCATATTTAGCGCGACTTATCTAATAGGCCCCATTCCTATTATGACTTCAGCACACGCCTAGTTTCATGCATGAGTCATCTAATTATAATCAATGGCATTACTCATATGCTGAAAGTTGGACATGTGCTTAAACATCTTGCTAAATCAGAACTTTACACTGTAAGCTCTTAAGAAAAAGGAGTTTCTTACCAAGCACATTCCTAGCGCAAAGCCTTGCATAAAGGGGCACCAGTCCTGGTTGGGATATCTAGCCTTTGTAACAGGAATTCTCTCTGCCCCATTCTTAACTGAATTTCTTAATTGTATTTTTCCTCTCTGACTCCTTTTTCCACTGTCTTTCCTTCCCATACAGGAGCCAAATAATATTAAAGTTCAAGCTGAAACTTTTGAATACATAATATAAGAATGGGGTCAGAGCCAAGCAGAATGAGTTCACCCATTCACATGCGCAGCAATGCAGTTAATTTATAGTTATTTCCTCTCCCAAAATGAGCAAAAAGAATCACAGAAGATAACACATATTTCTATCAGTTATTTTGAGCAAGGTGCACAGAGCAGGTAAACATAATACAAGCTATAACATACCTCTAATGCCTTCATATACACTCCAACGTCAAGTTTCAGACCATCGGTTTCTTTATAATAGCGTCTGGAAATGGAAGTGATAAAGATGTTGGCAATTGAACATAAACTATATTCTATTAATTCTGTGCCTATGCAAATGTGTGTATGGCTGGGACTAGAAGATAAGTAATTAAGTATTCTGGAGCCTTAATTTACAGTGAATTGTACTATGCAGTCTGTCCGCTTCTCAATGTGGTGCACTGCTAACGGGGAGACCTAACCAGATCCCAAGATCAAATTCAGACCTGCCACATGTTGCATAATTCCACTGACTCCAATGAAGTTCAACCATCCTATGCCAGGGCTGAATTTGGGACATTAGTTCGGGGGTAAGCTGCCTGAGGGGGCTCCTCATTCAAAATAACACAACCAGTTTAAGAGCGCCTCTATTTTCTTGACTTTTTTTTCTTAGAAGTTCATCTATCCAAAAAGAGATTAACTGCAAAATTATTAGCATTGACTTCAATGGAGTTGCAACTGCTTATGTCAGGCCCAACATAATTCTCTGGTTCTATCTGGCTACAGTTCTTAAGTCATAGGGTCTACACCTCCTCCCAGTGAAATCAATCAGTTTTGCCATTAAGTTTGGCAATTGCTGCACAGTATTGGGACTGTATTGTACAAGCCACAGGATACACCACTTACACACAAACAATTCATGGAGAAAGATCACATAATATATTAATGACTAAATTTTTTCACATATCTGTTAACAAATGCTAAAACTTTACAGTTTGTTATTATCATTTGTATTGTGGTAGCAGGCAGTGGCCGCAAACAGATTCAGAGCCCGACAGTGGTAGTCACAGTAGAAACACATACACTTTTCCCATGTGTTTCCTGCAAAGTTTAAATGAATACTGCAGGGAGATGTTAGTGGAGAATCTTGCTGATTCACTGCGGCAGGTGTAGTCTGTTAACTCCACCCTGGAAAGAAGGGAAGCGTGTGTGTGGATTTTTCTCTTGAGTGGTCCTGTGAACAGGACTGTCTCTAGGCACCAGCAAAGCAAGCACGTGCTTGGGGTGGCACAATTCCAGGGGCAGCATTCCGGCCACCCTTTTTTGCTTGGGCGGCATTCCGGCCACCCTTGGGCAGTTGCACGCTCGGAGCTTGGGGCGGCAAATTTTTGCTTCGGGCGGCAAAATACCTAGAGCTTGCTCTGCCTGTGAACAAAGGGCTGGAACTGAGAAGTTCTAAGAGGGAAGTCGAGAAGCAATCTGGAGAAAAGGCTTACACTGTCATTTATGGCCAAGGTCTTCAAAATTGTTTTGGGTGCCCAACTTGAGATGTTTTAAAGGGACCCTCTTTTTCAAAAATTGCAAAGCACCTATCCTCTGAATCAGCTGCCTCAAGCTGAACACCCAAAATCACTAGTGGCTCTGAAAACCTTGGTGCCTGCCTAAGTGTTATAATGAGTTATCTTTTAAAATAAAGCCATGCCTCCTCTCCCCCCTCCCCCCCACAATCTTCCACTGTGTGTGTTGGCTGTTCTTTGGAACAGGAGGAGCACCATCCGTTCCAGCACCTAGGACACAATACGTTGGGCTACATTTGGCAACTTGTTTTCTTCAGGCTGGAGAAGTACTACTGGGGAGGTGAAGCCTTTCAAAAAGCTGATTTAGTCATAGTTATTTTTGAGTTTTTAAAGAGCAGGTTATTAACGCTAAACCAAAACAGAGATAAATACCGGTGGCCCTGAAGGAGCCATTCTTGTCTGTTGTGCAACACACATTTTGTTTTGTTTTTTTAAATGTTAATTCTTGGCCCCAGAAGCTGTAGTGACAACTTCTTATCTCAAGGGCTCAATAGACCATAATGGAAATGGAAAAATCTTCTTAGTTTGTGGATTATTGACCTGTTGGAGAACAGCTTAATGGCTGCCCAGGAGCAGTTAAATCCATTGTGCTGCTACCCCTTGACACATTTTGTCTGTGGATTCTTCAATATGGGTGAAAAGTCCCTACAACTATTCATGTAGAAGAATAAACAGAAAGATAAAGAAAAAGATTGAGAACCAGCAATGTCATCACTTTTGTACATCAAAGAACCAGCTGATTGCAAATAACACTGTCCTTCCAAATATAAAACAGAATGACCCTATGTTATAGATCTGCAACACAAAAGTGATAAAACCTTTGAATCCCATGTGTATTTATTTATTTGTGTTGCCTTAAATTAAAAACAGGCTGACCAATTTTTTATTAAAGATTCTTTTTAAAAAACATGTGTTCAAATTCTGTGAGCTCAAATTTCATCTGGAGCCTATTTTTTATGACCAAGCACATGGACACTACAGACAGGGGTGCTATAGAAATTGCTGAGCTAGACAGTCTGTTAGATAGGTTTCCAGACCCTGAAAACAGAGGTTGTATGAGACACAGTGGCACAAATGATGTCAAGAATAGGGTCAGCGATCTAAAGTGCCACGTAAAAAGCATCAATGAACTGCCCTTACTGTTCACGTATGGAATTAGAGTAATTAAAAAAAATAGAACACCTTGACTGATTTCTTCTAAAGTTTTAGTTCATTCTCTAGAAAGCAAAAGTGTCAGAGTCACTGAAGCAGAATGCCCTCCTCCTGAAAATGGAGTGATTTACATTTAGCATCTGTTTTGGACTGAGAGTGGGAATTGGCTTTGTAATTTCTTCTGTCATGCCACTGTCAGAAAATTAAGCTGTTTACGCTAGACTATAGAAGGTTAATGGCTGTTCTAGCAAAGGTCAAGTGGCCATTTTAAAGAGAGGCTGTGCTGAATAATCGAAAATGGCAGAAGGATAAAGCATAAAATCTTATCTGACTGCTCATTGTACATTTTTTTCAGTCATGTAGGGACCTGTCTGCAGCCTGATCAGGAAAACTTTAAAGATCTGTACTAATGCAAATTACCATTATAATAAGAAAATATAAAAGTACTAAATAATCTTAAAAGCTTTGGGGTAACTTGACCATACTTAGGGCAAAATTAAACACTGTCATTTGATTTGTCTTGGTATAAATGCTGGCAGCTCATACTTAGTCATGATGGCATGCAATTTGCCTGTCCTGTAAAAAAGAAAAATTAAATCACGTGCAATGTAAAAACAAGCAAAGGCTTTTAAAAATAACTTGTGAGCTAATTCTTTTTTACATATGGTCATTTGATTTGTTTTCTTGGATCATGAAGTGCATTTTGGATTGTTTTTTTCTACTCTGCAGGGTCTGGAATTTTATTTTCAAATTGAAGTTGTATGTAGTTCATGTTCAGATTTTGACAGTATTAAATATAGCAGCTTTTAAAAAGTGTCAAAGCCAGAATATAATTTCATGATCTTTTTCATGACAATTAAATCACTATGTAACATTTATATCCTCTTCTGGGACAGTTCTCCGTCCCATTAAAACCAATAGCAAAACTGCCACTGATTTTACTCGCAGCAGGCCTGGGCTCCATCCTCAGCTTGTGTAAACTGTAATAGGCCTGAGGATCTCCCACTGTTACTATATTGGTTGAATTATCTTAACAGTGAATGTTGCCACCTAGTTCTCTTTCAATTTTAAGCACCCAGACAGTAGGTTTGATTTCTGTCTCATGCAGGTGTAAACTGGGAGTAACTTCATCAATAGACAGGTTTCAGAGTAGCAGCCGTGTTAGTCTGTATTCACAAAAAGAAAAGGAGTACTTGTGGCACCTTAGAGACTAACAAATTTATTTGAGCATTATGCTCAAATAAATTTGTTAGTCTCTAAGGTGCCAAAAGTACTCCTTCTCATCAATAGAATTACATAGGTGCATAACACGTGTGAGATTAGCATAAGAATTGGAATCAATCGCATAATTTATACAAGGGTGCTCAAACTGCTCAGAATACAAGGGTGCACTGGTAATTTGCAGTGTGCAGATTACTAATCTCTTTGGATACCAATGAGTCAGATTTTACAGCCATTCTGTTCGAGAAGTGTTTTCTCCCCCGTGCCTTACAGTCTTCAGCTTAGCTTCCAGTTAACTAACTTTTAAACACAGTTGTCTTTTCAGGAATGTGCCACTGGCAGGGCCATCCCTAGAGGAGTGCAGGGCCCGGGGCAGAAGTGACAGATTTGTCTCTTCTGGGACTGACCATGTCGGCCAATTGCACTGGCCCGCGGGGCCCACCAAAGCGCAGGGCCTGGAGCGGTTGCCCCAATTCGTCCTACCTAAGGGACAGCTCTGGCCACTGGACTTTTCATCTCCATCGCCTGGTTCAGAATATATGTCCACCTTTATACAACTTTTGCATGTCTGTTTGTGTCCCAAATTTGCATAGGCCCTGAAACTGCCCCTCACTCTGAAGGCATGCATGTATACAAAATCTTTGTTCGTGAATCAGTATCACACATAACACCAGGACAGTACTAAAAATAGCACCTGCTAGTTGAATGCTACTACTTGGCCAACAAAAGGCCTATCAACCCACATGACAAAATGAGGTATCATAATCAAAATTTTTAAGCCCTAATTTTGCTAACACCACTTTGCACATTCTGACAATCTCAGCAGAGAAGCCAAGGATTAAAGGGATATGAAGACTAAACTAACCTCTTATTCCTAGAATTGGTCCCTCAAGGACACTTCCCATGCTTAACCTGTCCTGCGCCCATGATGCTGTCGACTCTATACCCATCACAAGCACACTGCTGAGTCAGAAATAATTTTTTTAATTATTTTGGTAATAGTCTTTAATTATAATTATATTGCTATACTATTGTTCATTGTTTAGGTGCCATATATCACTTCCTACGTACAAGGCAAGACTCATCATGATTCGTTCCAAGTGTTCCCTTAGACTCTAAGATCTTCAGTTTCTTTTGTGGAGTCTGTGTTGATCTTTCTTACTCTGTTACAGCACAGCAACTTAAACCCATGCTAAACTTTAAATATGGGCTTCCGGATTAGCTGGAACCAGGCCTCCGAGAATAGCTCCTTCATAGAATCATAAAATATCAGAGTTGGAAGGGACCTCAGAGATCATCTAGTCCAACCCCCTGCCCAAAGCAGGACCAATTCCCAATTTTTGCCCTGATCCCTAAATGGCCCCCTCAAGGATTGAACTCGCAACCCTGGGTTTAGCAGGCCAGTGCTCAAACCACTGAGCTATCCCTCCCCCCAAATCAGATGTTCTTATTTTTCAGTATCATAGAATATCAGGGCTGGAAGGGACCTCAGGAGGTCATCTAGTCCAACCTGCTGCTCAAAGCAGGACCACTCCCTGATTTTTGCCCCGATCCCTAAATGGCCCCCTGAAGGACTGAACTCACCACCCTAGGTTTATCAGGCCAATGCTCAAACCACTGAGCTATCCCTCCCCCCTCAGTATAAGCTGAAAGCTGTGCTTATAATAAACACTTGCCATGCTATGGAACCTACGCCATACCAATGAGCCCCCTTTACACCAAGAGCATAACCGAAGAGTGAATCTATATTAACAGGCAAATATTGTTTAGCCTCGAACCTCCAAGGACTTTCAAGCAACTGTATAGAAACCAACTTCTCATTTACGTGGTTCTCATAGCTCATGGTGGAGCCCCAGCATAGAAGCCATTCTTTAGGAATGCTGCTTCTCTAGTTAGTTTTCACAGATATCTTTTGAAAGTAGAACGTGCCCTGTGTTGGCCAACTTATTTCACACAGACCACTGAACAGCAATTAGCCTAACATAGCATCAACTCACTACTGATCAGGGCAGGGTTTGAACCTGGAAGTGAAAATTTGGCTCGCTGTTCACTCAGACATAAGGAACTTTGTTACCAGCCTTCTGAGCCATCTGATCCTCCCCAACATTAGCCTGTAATGGCTTCATATGCATGTGGAGTTTATGGACCACCTCGAAGATCACCAACGCCAGGAAGACCCAGCTCTCACTGTGGGTCAAAAGGCTTGGCTTGCAGCAAGACACCTCTGTTTGAACAGGCCATCCCACAGGCTAGACCAGGGGTTCTCAAACTTCATTGCACAGCGACCCCCTTCTGAAAACAAAAATTACTTCACGACTCCAGGAGGGGAGACCGAAGCCTGAGCCTGCCCAAGCCCCAATACCCCGGGTAGGGGGTCCGAAGCCCAAGCCCCACCAGTCTAGGCAGGGAGACCAAAGCTGATCCTGATTCTTGCTTACTGAACTTGGCTCTTGCGATTCCTCCAACTTCTGCTCAACAACTATCATCCCTGACGTGCAGCCCCAGACCAGCTGTGACCTCTAGGTCGTCTATGCCCCGGTCCCTTACACACGTGAATTGGTGGCTACATCCCCCAGTTGGCTTTGAAAATCTCAGTCATTGTGTCAGCAGAAGAGAGCAATGGGATTCATGAGGTCTGGTGACAGGTATGTACAAACAGACTTGGAACACTAGCAAAATATACAGCCCTAGGTGTACTAACTAACAGTGCTTAACTCACCCTCTTCCCAGAGATATGAGAATAGGATTTTCCAGTCCAATCAGAACTCTGAAAGCTTCATTGAGATTTTTGTAGGAGAAATTGTCCGCTGCATCTCCAATTACCACACAGTTTGGGTTTGTTTTATCAAGCTGATCAAATTCAGGGACCAGATCTAAAGAGAAAAGAAACAAAATAAAACACAAATCCCACATCTTGTAAGAAACAACTGGAATTGCTGGTTTTCTTCTAGTTTTGCGTCTCTCCTCTATTCATTGCCTGATGGGCAAAACTATGAATGCCAGGTTAATATCTACATGCCAGCCCCTTTTAGTTTCAAGTAGCAGTGGATCATGGACCACATGCACCTTCCCTCCACAATGTGGCATGGGAAGGAAGGGGAGCAGAAGGAGACATGGGGAGAAGGTTAGCAAAATATATTGTATTTCTTGACTATGATACAATAAGGGAACCCAGAGAAAACAGCAATATTATCAAGAGGTCGAAGGCAAAAAAAAAAACAGCCTTCCTGTACTTCAGCAGCAAGTTTGTGGGCTCCAATGGTGTATTTATTTCTAGAACTGAAGTACTGTAGATCCCCAAAACACAGGCATTTTGGTATTTTGAGAAAGGAATGCACGAATAGGAGATGGCAGGCACGCATCAGTTGTTTAGAATGACTCGGACACAGAGCTGAAGATCAGTATTTCAGTTACATTTTGGAAAGGAGTTTGGATTGATAACAAAATACAGCACATCTCTGCATTCTCAAAAATGACATCTTCCAAATGGGACCACTGTCAAGATAAACTGACCTAACAGCCTAATAACCTTCCGGTGTCCTTTCCCCTTCCCTGAGATTTCCACTCCATCCTGTAATTTCCCTGAGGATCTTTTCATATCTTCCCTTCCTTAAATACTGCTTACCATCTGCCTTGAGGACTCTGGACCTCATCCAAAGCCCATGATGTCAAGGGAAAAAATACTTTGAATCAAACCCTATGTCTTACTGAGAAAGATAAGAGAGATTCAGTTTCCCTAGGAACCTGTTTATAACTCTCCTTAATTGACTAGAAGGTTGCTATTGAATGAAATGAGATGTTCTTTGTCCCATCACACTCCTCCTTCTCCACAATCTAGGATGTGAGGTTGGAAATCAAAGCTAGATCTCAGGGCCTGGTGTGGGAGAGTGTCCTTTTCAGAGACCATGAGAATATGGTAACCCATTGTCCTCTTTCTAAGGGAAGGCAGCATGATTACGTGGTTAGAGCACAGGACAGGGACTCTAGAGAAGGGTGTTTTGATAAAGGAGGTTTCCTCAGTTATGCTGCTTAGGAGGTGAGGAATGAAATTCTGCTCCTTCCATTTCCCTCCAGAAGACCCTCCATAGATTCCAGTTTCTGGCCAGTCTCTATTGATAATCAAAACATCCTATCAGATGCCATTTTGATTTTCACACAGAGAAGAATCTGCTCTCTCTTAAACATAGTCCTCTTGGTGATATTAACACCTACAAAAACTGAGCATATTATTTTAATAAATCACACATCATACATTCATTCCTGTCATGTCGAACAAAAAAAATAATGAAAAAAGAGTAGGCCAAGCCCATAAGCCCTTGTATTTTAATTTTACAAGGCCCTGGGATTTTATTCCCCACCCTCCCTGGAAAGAGCTAACTTTTGCAGTCCTGATAAACTGATCTCTCCATTTTATGAAATCCCAGTTTTGCTCCAGAGTAACACAACATGAGCTGACCAAGGACAGCCAAGTAGGGATGTAGGGCCTGCTTATGCAGCTGTTTTGCAAAATTGGAGCTACACTGTGCCTTCTGGCACATCCCTGAGCAAGGTGGGGCATTTATTGCCCCACTCTAGGAGTGGCTCCAGGAGGCACTGTGTAGTAAACTTGTTGGCCTACATTAGGAGCAAACTGTGACCCACTATGTATGGTCAGCGGAACTGGTGGCATTTTGGGGAGTCAGCGCCAAGGCTCCATCATTTCCCACTCCACTGCATGCATAGCTACTCCAGAGGGAGCGTAAATCAGCACACACTGTCCTCTTACCTGTGGGCACCTGTATGCAAAGTCTGGGTAGCCCAGACACACAGGTGCATCTTCCATTGAATTCAATGGGAGAAGTATCTATGCAAGCAAAGAATTTGGCCCATAATGCACTATAAGGGTGAAATTCAGCTTCTGTCGTCAGGGCCCCAGAAGGTCCCCAGCACAATGGAACTGCAGAGACTCATTCGGTATGCAATTTCACCATCTTCCAGCAGATCTATATACCATTTCAATGGATCTGTGACAGGGTGCAAGGGCATCACAGTGCCTGATCCCTGATGAATAAGAGATTCATGCAGCTCAGCCTCCCTCTCCTTTTGCCCAGATAAAGGCTGCTTGGGAGACAGAAGGGGGAGAATACCACTGGGAAGATGAGACTGCAAACCCAGGACGGTGAGCTTTTTGTTCTCTTTATTTGCCTGTGTTCTCTGTTTTATTGCTTGTTATAAACATTGTTCCTTAAAGAAAAAGCGTTGACGGCTGTGCGTTTCTGCTGAGACTAAGTCATTCCACCTGCTTACAGATCTACTGGGTGGCACCAGGGTAAATGAGAACTGAATCTGGCCCCATCACGGACATTTACTACAGCTACATTACTGGAGAAAACGGAATTAAAGAGCTTTTCCTGACAGGAAAACATCAACTAGATGTTCTTATCCTCACAGTTTTCTCAGTAAAAGTGACATCTCTCCTGACCCAGACTGGCTGTCAATCCACGGCATGCTGAGCTGCTAATCTGTATTAGTCTCAAAGTCTACTGAAGTGTTGTCCCACCATCATGTACGAGGAGGTGTGGCCTCAGGTTTCGCTCCTTCAGAATGCGACAGGCTGCCGGTGCCGGGGCAGTGACTTCATTCACCGAAATGTTGAACCCCAAGTGCTGAAGCTTCTCCACTAACTTGCCTCGAGTGGCCTGGGTTTCATTGGTGCAGAACCGCAACTTCAGGCCAGACGCTTTGATCCTGTTGTGTAAAATGAGTGGAGATGCTAATCAGACAGGTAACGTGTAGGGAGAGAAAGATTTGTCACCTCAAAGCTCATGGATAACCAGGGTGGGAAGGAAAGGGAGGAATACATTTTAAGCACAAACGCAAAGATTTTGGAGTATTATTATTTACTTTTAACATAGTGCAACAAAAGTAACAGCACTTTACAAACACATCAGAAGACAAGGCCCTGCCACAAGGAGCTCAGAATTGAACTCAAAATTGTAATACACATGAAAAGACCAGGTGCCAGCGTGGAGTAGCCCCCTTCTCTATGAACACCCATCCCCCTCACTTACTGCACTTACTGACAGTCTGCAAATGTTTTAAAGATACCGTCCTAGGACCAGGCATGACCGTGGATCACAGGACGTGACTTTCCTGTTGCACTGTAGATCTAGGGTGGTATCTAGCATTTAAAACTGTGGTCTACTTTCAGCTTCCCCTGAGCTACCTTGGGGCTGTGGACCCCTTATGATGGACAGCCCACCCACCAGGGAGCCCAAGCAGCACATGAGGCCTGGAGCCTACTGACCCAGTACAGAAAGTGGTCAGCACAAAGTGTCTGGCCAAGGCACACTAGAATCATATTGATTCAGCTCATCTCATAGGCAACCTACACCAGCAGAGCCACAGCCATAAAATAGAACTGCAAGCAATGCTGGCCATTCCCAGGGGGTGAATCACCCTTTCAAATGCACTTTCTCTCTGTGTAGCAGAAGAGGTAAATCTAGCTCTGCATCTTTCAGCCTTTGGTCCAGAGAGTTGCACTCGTTAACTGAGGGCATTATATAGCCATAATGACAAAGGTTAGCATGATATCATTATGTAGTAGCATTTTAACTCAGATTTGCACCTTCCCACTTACTTAACTTCTGTTCCAATGATCAACCCTATTATATGGCTATTGAATTACAGTCCAGGGGAGTTACCCTGTTATATAATAAAACAATAATATTTTGCACTTGTATAGTCACAAGGTACAGCCAGGCCACTTCCTCATGTTGCAATAATGGTGCTCATATCAATATGTGCATGAGTGCTGTAGCAGCCACATTTTAATCTCTTCCCCAAACAAAACATCTGTGCTGTTATTTGTTGACTTCATTGGGAGTCTGGGGGCTGAGCAACTCTGAAAAACAGGGCCCTATTTGGTAGGTACCTTTATATGGATTTATTTTAGGCATCCAAACTTGAAAATGTTGGTCTTAACCTCCGTGTGCTTCAATATACCCATCCATGAAATGGAGATAAATGATCATGCTTGACTATCTCACAGAAATATTGACTGGTTTAATCAATGTTTGTAAAGCATGTCTGGCTCCTTAGAGAAAAGGGAAGTAGTTATGGTCCAGTGGTTAGCGTACTGAACTGGGAGGCAAGAAACAAAAGTTCTATTCCTGGCTCACTGCTGTGAGATCTTATGCAAGGTTTCCCCATATGTAAAACAGGTATGATGGTACCTGTATAGCACTCTGAGATCTACAGGTGAAAGGTGCAATATCAGAACTAGTTATTGTTATTATGCTTAATTACAGTCATATTGACAATTATTTCATGACTCTATCCTGTGACATGATATAAAGGCCAAGATTTTCCAAAAGCAATTTAGTGATTATGGGTTCCTCAAGTTTTCGTTGCCCAACCTGAGATGCCACAAAGAGGCCTATTCTTAGAGGACAAGCACTGAGGATTTTCTGAAAATCAGGCCCTTGTAAGGCACCCCAAAATGGAGCCATGCCACATCACTAGTTGCTTTAAAATATCTTGGCCAAAAGGACTGAAGTTAATATGGATTTAGGTACCTAACCTTAAACACCAGTGTTTGATAGTTTGGAACTAATTTTATACATTTTTATTAAAATGTTGTAAGAAGAAACAATAGTTTTTTGTAAGGAAAGGATCATTCTGCTCTGCTTCTCCTCTCCAGATGACAAAATGTGTGGATTCTTTCCCCAATGAAGTTCATAGTAGCATGGTAGCAACAGAAAAACTAGTTAGATAAAATATATTTGGTGAAGAATCTTCCATCAGAAAGAATTCTTAGAAATCTGATCCTAATGTAGGGCGCCCCCTCTACACATTTACACTGTCTGGCAACGTCTTCTTCAATAACACAGGTGATTCATTTCTTTCTTATTATTTGTCTTTCCTAATCATAGGTATGTGAATTATCAATTACACTTAGTGGTTAATTGCCCTTCATAAAGATAGCTTTTCTATTTTAAATTAGGCAGTTAATATATTGTAACTAATAGCATTCACTTGTACATTATAAATATATCTTCATTGATTAGAGCAGTGAATGTGAGATTAACTCACAAGTTAATGAAGCAATTGAGTGAAGAAGTGCAGGGTGTACCCAGGGAATAATTATTGTTAATGAATTATGATGTGACCTTCTCAGAACAATGAACAATTGGTGTGACAGTTAGATGACAGTATTTCACATCTGTTATTCTAAACATGATTTCAGGAACAGTTAAAAAACAAAACGATATATTTTATATATACAACAAAACTTTAGGGAGTGTTTTACAGTTAAAACAATTTAATTTAAACACAAATTGTATTGTCCCATCCTTGGAAAAAATCATGGCTCATGACTGGCTGAAACAACCATGTGATGAATAAAAATCTACTGTTTATTTCCTCAAAGGTCAATAAAATGAGTTCTAGAACAACATTAAACAATCAAATTTTATTGCAAATAACTGCAACTTGATAGGTTATGATGTATGCAGCAAAAATTATTATTCAGCTCACTGGAAGTGAATAATAGGGGTTTTTTTTAAATATATTTTCTAACTCTTCTCCTCTTTAGAATGTTAGAAGGAAAAACACTTACACTTCTGAAACTCATGACCATATTGGAGACATTCAGAAATACTTAACAATGCTAATATCAACCTCATATTTTGATGACCATCAATATTCACTGTCTTTCAGACCAATGACTCTTAGTGTTTATGTCAACAGAAGTAGGTAACTACTTTGCAGAGCTGAGCCCATACTAGGCAATGAGTAGACTTGGTCAGAAAAATGGGTTTTTTTTCCTGTGGAAAATGTCTATGAAAAAGAAAAAAATAGTTCTCCAAAAATGTTTGGTGAAAAATCAAACACCGAACATTTGGATTTGGAAATGCTGCCGGGTCACCTCATGAGAGTTGTAGTTTGGGTGCCTCATGTCTACATTTTCTTCTCCAGGCTGAGCTTCCTGGCCAGACTATATCAAAACTGAATAGAAATGTTTTGGTTTTCAGACAACATTTTTCAGTTGAAAATCAAAAACTTTGCAGTTTGGAGGTATTTGGATTTTCAATGAAAAGCTGAAATTTTCCACCGATAGCGGACACTTTTTACTAAATTATTTATGTTGTCGAAAACCTTGAAGAACAGTTTTGATGGAAAATTTTTGACCTGCCCCAATACTGAGCACTTTGGCCTGGATCAAACTCCTGGCACTAAGCAGTTGTTCAGTCATAGTAGATGTGTATTTTCAAAGATATTAGGAGGGATATTTCAGTGTTCACCTTAGTGCATGTGTATTGAGCCTACAAGTCATTGCTCTTTGACAAGTTTCAGAGTAACAGCCGTGTTAGTCTGTATTCGCAAAAAGAAAAGGAGTACTTGTGGCACCTTAGAGACTAACCAATTTATTTGAGCATGAGCTCTCGTGAGCTACAGCTCAATTCATCGGATGAAGTGAGCTGTAGCTCACGAAAGCTCATGCTCAAATAAATTGGTTAGTCTCTAAGGTGCCACAAGTACTCCTTTTCTTTTTGCTCTTTGACAGACTATTGTGCCTATTACCCTTGCACAGCTATGAACTTTGTAATTGTCAAAGGACTTGACTCTACAGTCAAACCACACATAGGATGAAATCCTGGTCCCCTGAAGTCAAAACTCCTATTCACTTCAACAGGGTCCGGATTTCACCCACGGAAGTGTTACAAAACAGGGACTGAACAATTGCATTTGTTGAATACAAGATGCCATGCAAAGCAAGTCAATACTTATTATATTTGAAGCCATTGCCCCTGAATTAGCAAAGAGAAATGAGAAATCCTGTGTTGTTAAACTGGTTCAGCTATTCATGGTCAAAAGTTGTTAGAATCTGCTATAGGGCAACTTAATAGTGATCTCTAGTATTAGCAAGTCTGTGGGGGTACTGAAGATAGTAGAAAGGAGGATAAAAGTAAAGATCAAATTATTTGCAACAAAACTCGTTAGAAAAGAATCCAACCTTATCAGCTAAAGAATAATCCATTCAAAAATTTCCTGCAGGTATAAACATACTAACCCTCCCCTTATCAAAATTAAAAATACAACAACACACTTTGGCCACATTTGTAGTGGAACTACAGATTTATGACTATTTGTATTACAGTAGCAACTACCAGCTCCAGTCAAGACTGGTACACCCCCATTTGTCTACAGCAGTGATCCCCAAACTGTGGGGCACACCCTCCTAGGGGGACATGGAGGAATGTTTGGTGGGGTATGCAGCGAGGTCTGGGCCAGCCCCCATGGGGGGCAGGGATGGAGTGCCACCCAGCTCCACTCTGCCACCTGCGCTGCCCCAGCTCCGCTCCACCCCCTGTGCTGCTCTGGCCCCAGTCACAGCTCCACTTCGCCCTCTGCTCCGCCCCCAAACCAGCCCTGCCCTCATTCCCTCTCCACGCCCAGGCCAGGTCTGCCTCTAGCCCCAGTTCTCCCCCATCCCCAGTTCTGCCCCCAGCTCCACCTTCAGCCCAAGCTCCTCTGCTGAGCCAACTGTACAGTAGTGGAGAGGGCAGATTCCATTACTGGTAAGAAATGGCGGGGGGAGGCCCAAGACAGGAAAAGTTTGGGCACCACTAGTCTATAGCCACTGGCTGTCTCTTGTCTGATACACAGATTATAAGCTCTTTAGGGCAGGTACAATCTTTTTGTTCTGTTTGTATAGCACTTAGCACAATGGTCCATGACTAGGG